ATTATTTCATAGTTATTTTAGTATTTAAAGTCATTTTCGTATGTTTTCAGATTCTAAGGACAAAGTGTGCAAGAAGATGCATTATGGAGCCTTTTGGAGCAGTTTTGGGCATGAATTGAATAACTTATGCTTGGAGCAATATAGATGGACGAAATTGAAGACCAAAGCATGCAAGGAAATCACATTCCCTTAATTTTCTAGTTATTGCCGCATCCTCCTTGCACTTTCCCTTAGTTTTCTGATTTGTTTCCCTAAATTGTAGAAGCTTTAGACTTAATTTCTGTTTACCTAGTTAACCTAGGGTTTTATTTCCTTTATCTCTTTAAATAAACCCCTTGTTGCAGCAAACACATGGCAAAGAAAAGAATGTTGCAGCACACACATGGGAGCACACGACATGGGCAGAAAAATGGTGTGTTTTGTGGTTGAAATGATGAAGCATGTGTGTGTAAATGTAAAGGGGAAAACATGGCAGAAAATGGGTGTGTTTTGTGGTTGAAATGATGCAAAGAACATGTGTGTGTGCAAGTATAACAGCTAGGATGATAACATGGCAGCAAACCCACATGCAAAGTGGAAGAAAAGCACACGGCATGGGCAGAAATTGGTGTGTTTTGTGGTTGAATGATGAAGCATGTGTGTGTAAATGTAAAGGGCATTACACCCCAAAAGCTGCACATGCAAGGAAATGGAGTGGTCCTCTCTCAAGCCTATACACTCCCTATTCATCAAAGAACAGATTTGTCCCTTACCTTAGCCGCACCTCTCCATCACATTCTAAAAAAATTCAGCCAACACCACCCCTAGCCACACCACCTCCAACCCTAAACCTTTCCATACCATTCCCCATCCATTCTACACCATAAAAAACTACCAAAACCTGTCTAAAAGTCTTATGCCGTGACTATTGCAAGGAAGGGGAGAAGGAACATCTTGTGAATGTGCCTATGCCCAAGCCTTGGGAGTTTGGACGTTTCTAGGTGTTTTCTTTCCTTTGATTTTAATGTTCTAATTTAAGTTATCTTTGCTTTGTGAGTATGAGGAACTAAACCCCTCTTAGTTAGGGGGGTGATTCGAAACTATGTTCATACTTGCAATATGATTTGATTACATCCAGTTGTGATTCAAAAGTTGTGAATTCAATTTACTTATCCGTTCGTATAAAAACTGATTTGTGTATGTTGGTTGAGAGTGCACGCTTAATTTTCATGCATGAATTTGAACGCTAGAATATAAGGGAGTTTCACCTAATCGTTATGAACTTATATTCACAAGTAGTGAAGGTTGCTAGTCACAATCACGTTAAGTAAATTCTTGGCATAAGTTTCATGCAAATCATAGTAACGAGTGCCTCGTCAATGCTTATGTTTTTCATAGAACTTAATGATTCTTGCTTGTATCTCTATTATGCAATTCATGTAGGGAACTTGTAGGGAATGTTTTGGGTTGTCGTATGCAATCATCCAACCCAATAACTTGTGGAAAAACTGAGGGTTAATTAGTGCAATTCACGGTTAATTTGGGGCGTTGAGTATTCATAGTTTATCGAAAAAGCAACTGGAAATCGTTTGTATGCAAGTGTGACATGTGTGGAGAAGAACCTCCTAGCTAGCCTTCCATCCATAAGTTTCATTCAAATTCATTTTACAATCTGTTTTGTTTCACTTAAAGTTTGTTTGTTTTCTTAAATACTAAGAACCAACCCCCATTTATTTCAAAGTGTTAGATTAGTTAGTAAAACTTTAGTTTGTGTTTTTTAAGTGTTTTGAGTTCAAGTCAGAAAACCAAAATTCGTCCAAGTTTAGTGTTAGGTGTCAAAACTGCCCAGAAAGTGTTTTTAAGGCAGTTTTTGAGTCTTTGGTTGCTGTTTTGAATCTTTTTGTTTATCTTAGTATTTTAAAGTATAGTTTTGCATTCTTTGAGTCCAGTTTAGTGTTTTAAACTTTGTTTTTACGTTTTCAAGTCAGTTTCCAAGTGATTTAGCAATCCCTCCTAATCCCCGGCCTAGAACGATCCCTACTTACATACTTTACTACATTTGATAAAAAGAGGGTTTAATTTGTGTGCTTATATATTTCGCATCAACAATCATCAACTCACCTACATATCCAGCACAGTAGCCAATGTCTTCCTCTCCTTTAGCAATATGCAAATCCTAATCTGTAAACAATAATTTGGAATCTTGAGATACCAAATCGACTTCAACAGGGTTTGAAGGTTGCATTTTTCATAAAATTTAAAAACTAAAAGCAACAACAATATTAATCAGTGAGCACTCACCAAAAAATAAAGGAATGGAAAGAGCGATGACATTATCAGTGCTACAAAACGATCATCAAACAATAGATCAGGGTTAAAACATTTATAAAAAAGTTAGAAGACGGTGCAGATATAAACATTACTTAACAAAATTGATAAATGATTTCGAGTGTGACAAAGCAATCAAATTACAGGATCAGTTCTTCTGCCTTCAAACACGCTCATCAACACCATATTAAATTTCACATTTTTAGGCAAGGGCAAACTACCATAAACGAAAAGGACTTATACCTTTTATCAAAGATCTACAGCCTTGGTTCCTCCGCCATTGCTTGTCTTCTCCGGTCTGGGTTTTACTTTCTTGGCAGTCTCTTCCTTCCCAGGTAGTTTTTTGTCCTGCAAAGAGAAAAAAAATTAGGATTAAATTATAAACGCAAGGTTCCTTGATTCTTGAATAGATTAGCGAATAGTTAATTATGATTGGTTTTGGGTCCAAAGAAACCTTGTTAGGTGATGGTAAATCAATATGAAAGTAAACGATGTTGATTTCAAAATGGATACTGATGAGCTATTCACTGAATAAACTATTAAATCTGTTAAATTACAGCATGAAAAGTCTAATATATACAGAAAGCCGCATAAGTAAATATATACCAACAGAAAAGTGGGCTAATCCAACCAATCTCACCAATGGACATTGTCACCCGAGCAATTGTCGGACTAAATCTTTGATGAAACAAAAAAATGCTGAGGAAAATGATCATTACCCAAAATTCCATTCTGAACAAATATATGGACCAATCTGAAGATGAATATAGAGCCCTGCCTGTAAACCATCTTTAAGCCAACCAATTACACAAATCTAAATAAGAAATGGTAGAAAAGGAATAAGAAAAAAAAAATTGTGCACATGAGTTATGCATCTTGCTTGAATGCTATCCAACAATGATAATTCCCAAATCCAAGCAAACACCAAATCAAAACCCCAAAGCCAAGCAGGGCAACCACATATGTATTAAATTCACAATAAAAAAATATGTAAAATTGAGCAAAATTTAGCATCTTCCATTTTCACCATAACAGGTGGACTCGTCTAAACCCTAGCCGAACCAAACCAAAATCAAGATTACTAAAGTTAATTCCAACCGTTGATTTCTATAAAACCATACCTCAAAAGCTAAAACAAAACAAAATTGAAGGGTTTTACATGGATTTGCGAATGCAAGAATTTGAATTTCCATAAACCCACCATTGTAAAAACCCCAAAATCCTGAGATTTATACCCAAAAAATAAAGAAAACTTCCAAGACACAAAACCCTATAAACCAAAAACCCACAAATCTGCCCTCATTGAGGAACCATCCAAGATTCAGATCGGAGAAATCGCACAGAAGGGATTGGAGATCATCACATACCGACTTGGAAGAGGCAACCTTCGGTTGAGAATGGTGATATTACATAGAAGATAAGGATAAAATAAATAAATAAAAAAAAATTAGTGAGTAATGACACATCAATTACATGCCCAGAAGCCTCCCCAGTGTGAAAGCAAGTAAAAGCGAAACCATAATACAGGTTTCTTTGTGAAGAGAACTTGTATGAAGAAAGGTAATCACTTTAAAACTTATTTCCATTAATAAACAACAACGTAAATTTTGCATGAGACACATTTCCAGTTTATTTAGAATGACACCAAGAGATTTACCCCATACGATTTACAGCCAAACATATAGCGTAAGATATAGAAAACATCTGTGTTTCTCATTCTGACTTGTATAAATGGTCTAAACTATGAAATTATCAAATTTCTTGAGTTTTTTAAATTTTTAATGGGGCAGTAGCTTTGTTGGATGGAGCCCATTTCATCCAAGTTCTAATTATAATTGTTGTAATACAGAGTTTAGTGCAGAGGAGTTTGATGTATAACTATTAAAAATCACATAAAATTTGGTGTCCATGTAAAGAGTTCACGTTTGTAGAAGAAGAGCCTAAAAAATAACTAACCTTGTCGACAGCATTACATTGTCATCCTGAGGTGCCCTGCTAATCTTACAGACGGGTCTTGTTGCAAGCTCTTGAAGCCTCTCATCAGCCTCTTCCTTGTAGGAGTTGACATCGTTAATTTGTTACCACCTATATATCATCAAACCAATTTAATAGAACGTATTTTAAGATTAATTATGCATTGAGCGCAAATCAATTTCATTTTTTTTTTCCAGTACCCACCAAAATATCAAAAACCACTTGTCCACACCAAATTGCATATAAAAGATATTGAGGCAACTCAGATTGTGCAACGAAAACACATAGTTACCAATACAAATACTTCAAACTACGACATAGATAGCTTCAGCTTGGCTACATATAAACAAATTCAAAGCTCAAGCCTGAAATTGAGCTCAAAAACTGGAAATCTCACTTCAATTAAGCAGCTTTTCAAATTTTTACAGCTTAAATATGCATGATAACAAAAAGAAGCATCCTTTCTTCACTAAACGGACACTAACAAAAAAACTCTAATTCATATTATTCCGATTACAAATACACAGGTGACCAAATAGCTAATAAAGTTGGACAATTTGACCCCAATCCAACACAAAAATTGTTCTGGTTATACATGTGATACCCACCTAAAATATCAACTAATTCCAATTAAAAATGGACAATGAAATGAAGCAACATAAATTGAATACAATTTGGAGAAAATTTTCTCACCTGGAGCTCTGAATCTCTAAGGGGTCCCGATCTAAGCAGGCTCCAAATTGGGCTGAAGCCATTAGGTTTGGGGGGAGAGGAACACGGAGCTACTGTGAGAAAGAGAGCTTGCATTGTCCTTTTCTTCCATCCAGCCACTGGATCGCAGTTCCTTCACAAAAAATTATATGCATGTGTTAGTTTTTCAAGTTCTAGTTGCAATCGACTAAAGAACACCATAATTGAAGAGTTCGAAGGGGTTTACCTTTGGATTCTTCCGCTTTCAGATGGAGTTGCTTAACGTATCAGACTTCTGAGCTTCTTCTTCTTCTATAAAAACATAGTATTGGACAAATTTCCATTCCCATTCAGTCTGATTCTGATGAATGTGCCTAAAACCATGGCTAAAAAGTTAAAAGCCAAGCTCCAATCCTTTCCCTTCTAAGAGAACTTCTCAACCAATACAAAGAACTGAGTAGGTGGTGATGGATGAAATAATTCAGAATTTTTTTTACATTTTTATTATTTTCCAAGTTTTTCACGGAGCCAAATTAAACCGACATGCTTAAAAAAATAGTTGATACCTGTAAGGCTGGAGACTGCTTTCAAGGCCTCTTGCTTTTCTTTGTCCTTATGTAAATCCAATTTCAGTACCACCTTGTGCAGAAAGAAAACAATTTTCAATTAACAAATTGTTTTGGAAGAGAAAATGGAAATTCATTCATACAAATGCCAATGTTAGAAATCTAAGCCACTGAGATTTGTTAATGTACTGATATCGTAATATAGCTAAGCATAGCTACATGAGAGTATGACTGCTCTCTATTACTTGCTAGTTTTAGTGAAACGTAAACAAAACAATTCTCTTCTCTATGCAGAAATTCCTACAAAATAAATACAAAGTTAAAAAATTCAAACATTGAGATATAATAGCTGATGCGATGAAAGTTAAGCACTCAAATTAAACCCTCTTGTTGTCAAATTGTAGTATAAATGCAAGTAGGGATCGTTCTAAACTGGGGATTAGGAGGGCTTGCTAAAACCTCTAAACTTACTCAAAAACATAAAAAAAAGTTAAAACGTTTGAATAGACTCAAGGGACTCAAAACAACTTAAAAACACTCAAAACTGCCTTAAACACAAACTGGGCAGATTTGACTCTAACACAACTTTGGACGAATTTAGTGTTTTGACTTAAATCAAAACACTCTAAAACACAAACAAAACAAACTTTAAACACTTTGGAACAAGAAAGTAAAATGAGGGTTTTGATTTGGATGAATTTGAAATAAACAAGCAAGTTATAAAACTAGGCAAATTATAAAATGAATTTGAGAAATAAAATGATGGATGAATTAGTTAGAGGTCCGTTCTTCACACATGACACACTTGTACATGAATCGATTTCCAATTGTTTTTCAATAAACTATGATACTTACACCCAGATTAACCGTGATGCACAAATTAACCCTCAGATTTCCTTTACTCATTCAATTGATGATGCATGCGACAACCCAAATCATTTCAAAGTCCCCCTATATTGAATGCATAATAGAGATACAATCAGAGATCATTACGTTCAATGAAAATCATAAGTGTTGACGACAATTATAACTATGAATGCATGATACAATTGTCAAGAATTCAATTAACGTGATTGTGATAGACAAACCTCCACTACTCATGATTATAAACTTGTAACGATTAGGTGAAACTATTTCTATCTAATTCATGCATGAAAACTAAGTATACATCCTATAAACATACAAGAATCAGTTATGAATAAAATAGATATTGATTGCAATCACAACTTATCAAATTCAATTGAAGAAATCAATTCAAATCTCAAGCATGTTCATCGCTTCAAACTTCCCCTAACTAAATAGGGTTTAGCCACTCATAATTGCAACAAATTAGAAAATAACAAAGTAGACATTGAAAGCAAGAACGAGTACACCTAAATCCAAATTCCAACTTGAAACGTCAAGACCTTTGTTTTCAAACCACCTTGTTGTAGCACAGTGTCTAGATGTGTATGGATATTGGATGAATGATTTTCATGCTAAGAGATGAAAGTGTATGGATTGTGAGGTGTATATTGTAGATAATGGATGGAGTCAGCAAGAATTTGTGTGTGAATAATTGTGAGATTGAAATGTAGTGTCTTTGGATGATGGCCCCAATTATGGTGAAGGGTGGATGCTTAATAGGGAGAGGAGTGTATAGAGTTGTAATGAGTGGATGTAATGGGTATAGTGGGTGAGTGTTGTGGTAATGAGTGTGGAGTAATGGTATTGGGTGTGGTTTTGGTAATGATGGATGTAATGGGTGTATGTGTGTTGTGGTAATGAGTGGATGTAATGGGTGTAGTGGGTGGAATGAGTGGATGGGTGTAGTGGATGAGTGTGTGGTAATGAGTGATGTAATGGGTGTAGTGGATGGATGTTTGGAGAATGGATGTGTTGGGTGAAATGATGGATGTAGTGGTAGGTGATGTGTTTTTGGTGGATGTGTTAGGTGAATTGAGTGTGCTAAAACGTTATTTATAGAGGGATGATGCACAAACTCAAATTTCGTCCATTCCTTTTGCTCCAAACATATGCTCCAAAATGCTCCAAAATGCATTTTTTTGCCACATTACCCTTTGGACCTCACACACGAAAATAGCTTAAAATACTAAATAACTAGAACAAAACATATGCCAGAAACAAGCTACAAGTCGATAAATATGCTCCTATCAAATTTCTCCACACTTAGCTTTTGCTAGTCCTCGAGCAAAACAAAACATAGCCTAGACTCCACAATTGCCTCAGGGATTTTAATGAAACATGACATTAAAAATCATCTTTCCCACAAATTTTGGTCATCCTTCACTTGGTACTTATAGTCATCCTTACAGTTCTTAACCAATAAAACGATGTTTGAATGTAGTAACCCTTAGTTTACTCATTCCTTACAAAACTCTCTATTTTCCACACATTTCTGCTACACACCCTACACTAGTTATATGTGAGAAGATTGATGTAATGGAACACTCGTTTTGTATAACAAAGAGGCAATTTTCTGGAAGTATTCAGCATGTTTAATATGACTAATGAATGGAATGCTACTACTTAGATGCAAGAACCAGTGACACCATATGCTCAAACCAATCCAAACTCCACATTGAAACGCATAACACCAAGATAAAGTTAAGGGTTGTAACGGGTTTAAGGGTAATGTCTAACAAAGAAAGGATAAGGCAAACTTTGAAAGGAATAACAAGCAAAGTAAGAAATAGACACTTGGAATCACTTAATAATGAAGAAATTAACTTTAAACACAAGGGAAGATTCAAGCAACACTTAGGGCCGAATTCAATGTTTGGACCCTTTCTTCAACAAACAACACTTTAGAGCTCTTTTCGTACTTTTTTTTCTTTTCTCTACCCTTGCCTTATTAAGGCTCTGGTACAACACACACACACACACAAGAATCACTTCCCCCACACTTGCTTTCTGCAAGACATTGATAAAAAGGAGTTCATATAAGTCATGCTTTTCAAACAGGGTAGAGTCTAACACTAGGTAAGATGTGGTTAACAAAGAACTTAGGCTTACAGGCTCAACGGTTAAACTTAAAACATAATGAAATAGGCACGAATTTGGCTTTGTGGTCATACACAACTTCACTTGAATATGTGTTGCAAATCAATAGCTGTTTGAATGAAAGAGGCAAGCTTCTAGCATTTGGAACAAATAGAAAACGCCTTCTAAGTAGAACCAAGCAAAAATAATGAAATCATGCAAGACTTTAGAAAGATGCACATATTATTACTCTCAAATAAACATTTGCTCAAGTCTCACAGGTTAGCGTCATTTGAGTTCCTCTTTCAAGCATGTTACAAAAACTGATTTTTCCTTTTGTTGTGTGTTCATAAATTATAACCACAACCAAGCATACACCAAAGATAAATCAAATTTTCATCCATTTTAAACACTCTTAACAGTCATGTAATTAAAAACCAAATCCTCATCATTGTGTTGGAAGGTACCTAAGACACAAACAAACACACAAAAACAACTCTTTTTGGGTTTTTCAAAACAATTTTTCAAAATTTTATGAGATTTTTGGATTTTTATGTCAAAACAGACTAAAACACTCCAAAACAGCTTAAAAACACTTAAAAATAGCAAGGAACAACACTAGAAGTAATGGGTGATAAACTTCCACGAATTTCATGCAAAACAACTTGGTTACCCCCCACACTTAAATTGAACATTGTCCTCAATGTTTCAAGCATAAACTCACACAAACACAAGCAAACAATCAAACAAACAATGAATAAACATGACAAGTATGGCAAAGTAAAAACCAGACAGAGTAGAGTTTAAGAATGCAAATCTGGTTTTGGAGATAAATGATCTTGTTGTCTTTCCACAGCTTTGATCTCGAACTGGTTCGGAATTCTGAGCAAGAGTTCCTTGGTTTCAAATCAGACTCCTTCTGCTAGGTTGATTTGATTGTGCAGTCTGCATTCTTCTCTGCTTGTTTCTTCTGTACGGCAAGCAGGCACGAGGTAGAGGTGATGGTCTGTTTCTTTCTTCAATCTTTCCAAGTGCCCACCTCTTGCTTTTTTTCTCCTTGTCCCTAGCTGAGGATGAATTAGCACATTGTCTCCATATGCTTCGAGGTATCATTTTCATTTCCCTTATATGTTCCCCAGGCAGATGTGGTAGACAAAGAGGAAGCATAAGATGTTGAAGATGAGTACTCGAGAGCAGGGCTAGGTAAGCAATCAGGAAGGGGTTCCAGGCAGTCGGTTCCAGATCGAAAGATTGATACCAAGTGCTAGCTGATTGCTCTCTTTCTTCTTGTCCCGTAGATGAAAATAATGATAAGGAGAAGGACGTGGAGAAATCATGATATGAGATGCTCTTGCTTTCAACCTTCATGATATGAAATACTTTTGCTTTGGATGAGTTGTTTGCAGAGGTACCCCAAGGAATAAGGAACACTGAGTGACTCGAGAGACTTCGTTGGGAAGGCATTCTCAGAGATGACGGAAGGTTATGTATGTCTGCCTTGCTATGGAGGGTGAAGGTCGACATTTATAGGAAATAATAACCGGTACTATTGTTTCACTCTTGTCGGCAACCGTTGGATGATTGAACAGTAAACTTTCCGTGCTTTCTACTTCACCAGAAATCTTCGACAGATTGCCCGTAATTTCCGTAAGGCTGAGTGTGTATGTGACAGATGCTGACACGTTTGGAAAAACAGATGCCTCTCCGATATCTGGAATCGGCGCTTCGACAAACTGCCCGTGATTTTCGCAAAGCTGAGTGTGTATGTGACAGGCGCTGACACGTTTGGAAAAGCATAAGCCTCTCTGATTTCTGAGCTTGCCTCTTCGAGTTCTGAGCTCCGTCGAGTGCAGAGGTTGCATGTGACAAGTGTGGAAAAATTTTGAAAAGATGATTGGCCTGTGGTTTCTGAGCAAGCCCAGCTTTTGAGAAAGCTAGTGCCTTTTCGATTTTTGAATTGGCCTATTCAATTTCTGAGCTCGCCTCTTCGATCTCTAAAATCTCGTCGAGCGCTGGTTTTTATAAAGGTGCGCAGTACGTTTCAAAGCACACTTGAATTTCTGCTTATAGAAACTCCCTTCTTGCACTTCTACAATCTTTACTTGTCCGACCTCTTCTTTCTTCAACACCTTTGAAAATGTCTGGCCCCTCCGACCGTCGTTTTGACTTGAACTTTGGTGAAGAGGCAGCCATGCCTTCTCCAGACAACATATGGTGCCCATCCTTCATATCCCTTACTGGTCCTCTTACCATTGGGGATTCGGTGATGAAGAATGATATGACCGTTGTGGTGGTGGCCCGGAACCTTGTCACTCCCAAAGATAACAGACTGCTTTCCAAACAGTCTACTGAGTTGGCTGTTAAGGATTCTTTGGCTCTTAGTGTGTAGTGTGCAAGTTCTGTGTCTAATATGGCCCAACGCCTATTTTCTCGAACCCGTCAAGTTGAATCATTGGCGGCTGAAGTGATGAGTCTCAAACAGGAGATTAGAAGGCTCAAGCATGAGAATAAACAGTTGCACAGGCTCGCACATAACTATGCTACAAACATGAAGGAGGAAGATTGACCTGATGCAGGAATCTGATGGTCAGATTTTACTTGATCATCAGAGGTTTATGGGTTTGTTCCAACAGCATTTCCTTCGTCTTTTGGGGCTGTACTGTGTAATGAAGCTCCAAATGATCAACCTCTGATGCCTCCTCTTTCTGGGGCTCTGCCGACTGCTAAGGCTTCGCCAAGTGCTGAGGCTTCGCCGACTGCTGAGGCTTCGCCGACTGCTGAGGCTTCGCCGACTACTGAGACTTCTCCTAAGCAGCCTTTGTGAAAGCTCTCTCTTGTATTTTTCTGCTTAATGTTCCCTTTTTTTTATGAGAATGAATGTAAAATAAACCCACACCAAAAACAATTAAACAAGCAACAAATAAAAATGACAATCATGGCAAAATAAAACTACAGAAAAGGGAAGGTTTTTAGGAATGCAAAACCAATCGTGGAGCAATTCAAAAATCTTCCTTATTTGAATACATAGGTTGCCTCCCAAGAAGAGCTTGCTTTAATGTCTTCCAGCCGGACGAAACTTTCTTCTAAACTTGGATAGGGCCCATAGCATGGAATTGATCCTTGAATGGAAGGTGATACTTGACGTGATCCGGAAATGGTTTAAATTCTAGTGTAGGTGCCTGAATCATCAAAATCAGCAAGTTAGTATATAATAAAATCGAAGTTGGAGAAGATGGCTTACTTGCTTGTTCCAACACAAACTCAATTATGAACACCATATTAGGGATATGGGACTTGGCCAGATTTGGTGTTTTGAGAGTTATGACTTTTCCCGTGTCATAAAATCCAACTTCTTTGGGAATTTTCATCTTAAGTGTATCGTCTTTGATGAATTCTAGACATTCCCCATCCACTTCTTGCTCTTGATTCTTTGGAAAGCTTTCGAAGATGGCTTTCTCACCCTCTTCTTCCTTGGATTGCATGATCCTGCAAGGAATAAGAACATTTGGTGAAACGGGGTCAGGACAAATTGAATTTAGGCTTACCTTTATTGTAGTGGACGGCATAGAGAGCATATGGGGCTGCGGCAAGGGTGGTTCTTCCCTTGCCGTGGCCTTGTTATTCTCCTTTTCTTCAAGCAGCAGTTGTTCATCCATGTTTTGGCTTGGTTTGGATGTCTTGGGTTCACCTCCAACCTCCATAGCACTTCCCAAAGTGATAGCATCATGAATTTCAAAATCTTCCTTCAAATTTTCAATAGTTGAGTTGGATAGTTCACTTTGCTCTTGAATTTGTGCCGTGAACTCCATAATCTCTCTAAGTTGATTTTTCAATTCGCTCATCTCCTTAGCTTGATTGAGCATTGTTTCATTTTGATTTTGCTGCCCTTGCACTAAAGAGGTTAGGAATTGAAAAATTTGATCATTATCCGTGGACATACTTGAATTTGATTGGAATTGTTGTAGGGGAAGCTGTGGTGGCTGCATAGGTGTTAAATAAAACTCCTCAGATTGCTGCCCATATCTATCTTGTTGAGCCTCCTTGGTTTGATTTTGTGAGCCCTGCACCAAAGAATTTATTTCATAAAAAATTCGATCATAATCTAGTGACGAACCTAAGTTTGATTGAGCATATTGTATATGAGGTTATGATGACTGCATAGGTCTTGAATGGAACTCCTCTTCTTGCTGCCAATTTCCATCTTGTTGGAATTGTTGAGGTTCTATGTAATCTGAATAATCTCTCCAATCCGAATTGTAAGCGGTGGAAAACATGTTGTCCTATGATTGGCTATGGCCTTGATAACCCCAAGCATCTTCATTCGCAGCAAATTGAGAATATTGCTGAGTTGGATATCCTTGCCCATAGGACACACCACATGTAGGCACACTTTGCATTGTGGTCCTTTCGACATATTGTGACAATTGAGAAGTAAGTTCCGCCAATTGAGCTTGATTGGTAGCAAAATCCATGTCTTACTTCTCTAGTACCTGAAATCAAGGAAACAAAACTAAATCAAATATCAAAAGTAAAACAAAAAAAAACACAAACAGAAACAAAGTCAGTAACTAAAAACAAATGACACGAAAATAAACAAAAAGAAATAACAAGGGATTAGCAAAGTTGCTAATCCCCGGCAACGGCGCCAAAAACTTTGATGCGATAAGAGTTAAGCACTCAAATTAAACCCTCTTGTTGTCAAATTGTAGTATAAATGCAAGTAGGGATCGTTCTAAACCAGGGATTAGGAGGGCTTGCTAAAGCCTCTAAACTTACTCAAAAACATAAAAACAAAGTTAAAAACGTTTGAATAGACTCAAGGGACTCAAAATAGATTCTAAAGAATCAAAACAACTTAAAAACACTCAAAACTGCCTAAAAACACAAACTGGGCAGATTTGACTCTAACACAACTTTGGACGAATTTAGTGTTTTGACTTAAATCAAAACACTCTAAAACACAAACAAAACAGACTTTAAACACTTTGGAACAAGAAAGTAAAATGGGGGTTTTGATTTGGATGAATTTGAAATAAACAAACAAGTTATAAAACTAGGCAAATTATAAAATGAATTTGAGAAATAAAATGATAGATGGATTAATTAGAGGTCCGTTCTTCACACTTGACACACTTGTACATGAATCGATTTCCAATTGTTTTTCAATAAACTATGATACTTAACACCCCAGATTAACCGTGATGCACAAATTAACCCTCAGATTTTCCTTTACTCATTCAATTGGATGAATGCATGCGACAACCCAAATCATTCTCTAAAAGTCCCCTATATGAATGCATAATAAAGATACAATCAGAGTTCATTACGTTCAATGAAAATCATAAGTGTTGACGAGGCAATTATAACTATCAATGCATGATACAATTGCCAAGAATTCAATTAACGCGATTATGATAGACAACCTTCACTACTCATGAATATAAACTTGTAACGATTAGGTGAAACTCATTTATATTCTAGCATCTAATTCATGCATGAAAACTAAGTATGCATCTTTAATAAACATACAAGAATCAGTTATGAATAAAATAGATAATTGAATTGCAATCACAACTTATCAAATCACAATTGGAAGAAATCAATTAAAATCTCAAGCATGTTCATGGCTTCAAACTTCCCCCTAACTAAATAGGGGTTTAGCCACTCATAATTGCAACAAAATTAGAAAATAACAAAGTAGACATTGAAAGCAAGAACATAGTACACCTAAAACGCTCCAAAGTTCCAAGCTTGAAACGTTAAGGACCTTTGTTTTCACCACCTTGTTGTAGAACAAGTGTCTAGGATGTGTATGGATATATGGATGGAATGGATTTGCACGGCTAAGAGATGAAAGTGTATGGATTGGTGAGATGTAGTATGGCTAGATGAATGGATGGAGGTCACGGCGAGGAAATTGTGTTTGTGAATGAAGTTGTGAGATGTGAAATGTAGTGTCTTTGGATGATGGCCCCCAAATTATGGTGAAGGGTTGATGCATTCATAGGCTAGGGAGAGGAGTGTATAGAGTTGTAATGACTGGATGTAATGGGTGTAGTGGGTGAGTGTTGTGGTAATGAGTGGATGTAATAGGTGTAGTGGATGAGTGTTTGGTAATGAGTGGTTGTAATGGGTGTAGTGTGTGGATGTAATGGGTGTAGTGGATGAGTGTGTGATAATGAGTGGATGTAATGGGTCTAGTGGATGGATGTTTAGAGAATGGATGTGTTGGGTGAAATGAGTGGATGTATTGGTAGGTGAATGTGTTAGGTGAAATGAATGGATCTAGTGGTAGGTGAATGGATGTGTTGGGTGAAATGAGTATGCTAAAATGGTTATTTATAGGGAGAGGATGATGCACAAACTTCAAATTTTGTCCATTCCTTTTGCTCCAAGCATATGCTCCAAAATGCTCCAAAATGCACTTTTTTGCCACATTAACCCTTTGGACCTACAAACACATGAAAATAGCTTAAAATACTAAAATAACTACGAACCAACAACATAAATGCCAAGAAACAAGCTAACTAAGTCGCATAAATATGCTCCTATCAATAGCTTGTATAAACGATGTTCAAAACATGAAAACTGACGACTAATTAAGGATATTTTACTTGTAGTTTTCTGAAAACAAATTCAATAAAAAACATATAATTAATAACCACCCAGAAATTAATCGACGATTTATACAAAACTTAGAAAAATTACTAAAATTCATGTAAAATTACATTAAAAATCTCATAAATTAAATGATGATTCAGATATAATGGAATCACATCAAAAGAAAATTTAAATGAACAATACTCCAAAGACAAAAAAATTGAAACGAAGAATTCTACAAAAACATGAAAAACTTAATAAAACCCAATTTAAACGAAGAACTCCATCTGAAGTAAATTTTCACATGCAAAAGTTCTAGAAGATGCCTAAGATGATAAGGAGTCATTTGAGACCATCAACTCAACCCCATTCGAACGCAATCACAAAATCAAAAAGGACAAAATGGGCTAACAAAAAAAATGAGGAAGTACCTACCTTGAGCTTGAAAGAGAGAGGAGGAAGAACGACGGTGCCCTTCTTCTGCAGAATTTTGCCGATGTTGTTTTTGGCTGTCGCCGCTAGCATTAGGAAGATCGACTCTCACATCCCAAGAACCCTAATTTATAAACTCCCAATCAAACGCAAAAAGGATAGAGGAAACCCAAATAAAGGGAAATTGGAGAAATTCACCATATTGTAAGACGCTTTCTGATGGCCAAATTCATAGACAACGGAGGCGGTTGTCGACCGTCACTGTACCACCATTTTGCGCCCGACATGTTTGAGGCTTTCAACCATCACTACTTGGTTTGTGGGCTTCACATCGAGAGATACGGGGAGCGGAGAGAAAGGAAGAGCAGTTCCCTCTGTGCAAGCCTATACTCACCAATTCCTCAATCAACTCTCTCCATTCTCTGTCCGTGAAGCATCAATAATCTGAAAACCCAGTTCGATTTTTCATTGCTTGGATGGAGAAAATTGAGGAATGAAAGAACAAATTAGGGTTAGCACTAAAGTTGAGAGAGATGGAGAGTTGGGAGAAAGGAAGAGTCTGAAAGAGAGTGAAAGAGAGTGAAAGAGAAATTACCAATCCCTGAAATCACTCTCCCTACCCCCAAATCCCTGAAATCACTCGTCTGAACGTGCAACAGAGCATGGTCCCATCGACCCCATTCCAGTTCAAAAATAAAGGAAATGAAAGTTCTTATCTAACCAATGCTCATTTAATCACCGACACCAACAATTGATTTAAGGAGAAAAAATCAACCCTAACCCCCTTTTTGGCAGCCTCACTCCTCCATCTCCCTTCCCTTCCCTGCCATCCCACACCTCTCTCCCTGAAATCCGTCCATAAATCCTCCTATATATATCTCTCTCAGCCTAATCCGTGAGTTTTGGCTGAAGCACAGCCACACCAAATTTAGATCAAACCCTAATTTCCAGAATAATGATAAAATCGACAAAAAATATATACAGTTGGCACGTTACCATTGATTCGAGTTCTGGTAAAGAGTGCGGCGGCGAGGTAGGGCGAGGTGTGCGATGGCGAGAGGAAGGCAAGGCATGCAACGGTGAGGCGCCGAATTGACTTTGTCGTTGAAGAGCTCTGGAGCAAACTGGGTTTGTCGTCGAAGAGATATCTGGAACAAAATCGGGTTTGCCACCATCCCCCCACCCTTTCTAAGATGATCGACACGTGCACTCTAAAGGGTGGCAATTTCGTAAATAAATCAAAATTTTCAATCTGAAACTGAAAAGGTGGTGGCAATCTTGTAAATACGTTGAAATGTGGTTCAAAACACTGTTCATTTGTACAGTACAATTGAAAAGCCTTCTTTAGACTAAAGTAATACTTAATTTGCATATAGATATGCATCACCAAGTGAGTACCTAGCATCGTTGAGTCGTGAAAATCTAATATGGACCTCCTGGGATCTTCATGAATTCTTAAGGTAATAGGCCGAAGATGCCGCTGTTTTGATGAGAATTAGGGAGAACCCAATCATGGAAGGAGGAAAGAGGGTCATTGAGAAGGATTTGAGGGAGAGCAGAGCAATGAACAGAGACTTATGAAAGGGTGCAAAGGTGTTTCAAATTTTTATTTGTTTTTTCTTTTAAGTTTTTAAAATAAAACTACTTTTTGACCACAAGTTTTGTTTTAAATGGGTTTTTTTTTAGTTTTTTTTTCCAGGTGGCCGATAACAGAAAAATTAACAGAAATTGTAACAGATGTATGGTCATTGAAATGAATAATAAATATTTTAAAGATGTTTATAAGTTTGCAATTGCACCCAAACCTGAGGGGATAAAATGTAATTTACTCCTAATAATTTGTCGATATGAATCTATCATGTGAAGCATGATGGTCATGTCTTGGTACATAACCATGCATTTCGCCGATATATGCACTTGTAATTAGCTAAGTGTAAAATTAAAACGATGCATATGTGGTTATATTTTGTTACTACAATAAACTTGAACAATTCAGTGCATAACATCACATGCATGCCGGGACTCATCATGACACATTTTTTTCGTTTTCCCTCATAACAACATAAACTTACATGCATACAGGAAACAAGTTTTAACATTATTTACAAATATATATGTGATAGTTTGTTCATGTGAAGTATATAAACTGACAATTATAACTTTGTTCTTATAAACATGTGAAATTCGCTCCATCAAATGCATGTTAGATCCATCACTAGTATTTACATTGTAAATATATATAACTAAAAGACAATGTTATCTTCACAATAAACATGTAAAAATTCGCTACATGGCATGCATGTTGGGCCCTAATAGCATTAAAATATATATAATGTTAAACATAAATTCTCAGAGTACATATAATTGAAAAACATATTTTTGTTCTCACAGTAAACATGAGAATCTCACTACTTGACATGCATATCAGACCCACCACAACGACAGACCTAGCAATTACATTGAGAACTTACATATAACTCAAAAATATATTATTGTTCTCACAATAAACATGTAAATTTCACTATCTGACATGCATGTCGGACCCACCACAACAACTTTAGCAATTACATTGTGAGTTATATAAAACTGACAAACCTAATTTTTTTTTTTACAATAAACATGTGAATTTTGTTACCCGACATGCATGCTAGAACCAACCACAAAACATAACTAGTAGTTACATTGTGAGTTATATATGACACACCCCGATCCGGAGGATCCAGGTGTGCTGGCCGTCACGTGGGCGTGACGTAGCCATAAGCACAACACGGAAGCGGAAAAGCAACATAAATCAGCAGAATTTCAAACCAAAATCAAACATAACCACCTACGAACATAACCATACGAGTTGACAAGTAAACACATAAGTTCAGAGCATAGGTTAACTGCAGTCAAGTAGGACTAAAATAAGAATACATCACCCTCAGGTGAGTCCTACATGTCCAAGGTCTGTCAGAAAGCCGGAAAAAGGACCTTGTGAGCCAACCACCGCTAAACTAGAACCTGGAGGGGCGCAAAACAAAATGAGTGGGTCAGTAAAACAAATTAGTTTTCCAAACAGTTCATTAAAACAATTATATCCCCTCGCCGTAAAAACCTGTATACTTTCCCAGAAATATATATATAACCATATAAAATCTCAAAACTTAAATCCCAAATCTTTAACATTTTCAAGAAAACATGCCATGCCATAAATCAAAATATAAATCAGGTGAAATGAGGAATCAATCGGAGACCCTGCAGTTGGTCCTATACGATTAATTCAATAGCTCAAAATCCCACTAAGCCGGAGTCACCACAGTGACCTGTACGGCCCTACTCTGCACATCACTCGGAACTATGTAAGGTAGTCTATACGATGAAAGGTGTAAAAATACGCTCTAGTGCTTCTCTCATCATATCATCAGCGCGCATAACTAAGATCACCCACTAGTCGGAATCACGCCTAGTGATCTATACGACTAGCATGTCGGAACCCTCACATGGTCTGTACGACATCCACCTACTTGGATCCAAGGCGAGCGTGCGGTGTGGTGAATAATATAAGCACTAACACCTAGGGTGCAGGTTATGAGCTCAAAACATCTCAACAACAACAATTCAATGAATAAATGAACTCACCTGACTTATCTGTGCCTCCACAGCACCATGCAACATGTATGCATCATATATCAATCATATATCTCATGTGAAATTCATATTTATCAAATAATTCTATGCATGGCATTTTTAAAACATAAATTCGTATAAATTCAATTTTCTGGGAAAAATTAATAGTATAAAGGTAATACGAAAACAAAACTGCCCACTCACTGGTAAGTCGACGGGTCGTAACCCCCGTGGCGTCCCTGGATGCGGTCGTCCTCGGGATACGTCTCACCTATATGCGAAATAACTATAAAAACGTTAATTTTAAACACATCACCAATATTTCGAAATAACTTCTCATACGATGCTCAATTTGGGTATATGAATATACCACATCGACCTACTCGACGTCACGAGCGTCGAGAAATTTTTAGAAACTGATTTGGACTCCCCACGCGCCCTCACGCGCCGGCTAGGGCTCGGCCCTACGCGCAGGTCACGCGCAGCCACGCGCGGCACGTGTCATCGTCTTCCCCAGGGTTCGCCGGAATGGTTTTTCCGGCGACCCAATTCCGGCCAGTTTTCAAACTTCTTGTTCTCCTTCGTTTTTCACCCAATTTCTTCGTATTTTATACCAAATTGAAGCCCTAAGAGTGCACTATCGCGTTGGACTAGTCTTAGGGTCTAAAAATCAAGAAATCTCACCGAACAAAATCCAAGAATTCGGCAAACTTTGAAACCCACGATCCCGACGTCCAAATCCTTCAAACGAACGTCCCCGAGCTTCCTTAGGACCTCACTAAGCTTGCTATAAGGTTGAATTCCCCTGAAACACAACATTTTACGTTCGCATGAACAGTACCCAAAAATGGAGGTTTCGGATTCCACGCGAAATCGAAGGTTTCACTTCCTAAAACTAGCACCAATGAACTCAGGACGTCAAAAGGATGAAGATACATACCTTATTTGCCTCGATCCGTCGAGTTTTGAAGGATTTTGGGTGTGTGCCGTACAATGGGTGTGTGTGCGTGAGTTCGTGAGGGAGAGGGAGAGACAGGGAAGGCACGGGGGAAGGAGAGGGAAGGAAAGGTCTTGTGTGGTCCAGATTAACCCACACCCTCCATTTCATCCTAGCCATACATAACAAAAGAAATCAAACCTTCAATATTTCCAACTCACTAATATTTCTTCTAGCTAAATTAATATTTGGACCAAAATAACGCCACAACATACGCACCTTAATAACGCCAAGGGCACTTCCGTCATTTCACATTCCCGTCAACAGTACCGGGACGGGCTGTGACAATCTTCCCTCCTTATAGAATTTCGTCCCCGAAATTCCCAGAACCAGATAATCCATTTAATATTCATAAAATAGTCTTGGGTACATCTCCCTCATCCGATCTTCCGTTTCCCAGGTAGCTTCTTCAATAGAATGGTTCCTCCACAACACCTTCACCAAACTCACCGTCTTGTTTCTTAGAACCTTATCCTTCCAATCCAATATTGTGATTGGTTCCTCATCATAAGTCAAATCCGGATTAATCTCTAGCGGTTGAGGAGGGATCACATGAGAAGGATCAGAAATATAA